ACTTAGAGAAGTCTAAGACTGAAGCTGTTTTAGAAATAACAATCAAACTTTTTCTAAAGTGCAAAACACCGTTATCACAATTTCTACGACGAGTTAAGAAGAATTATAGAAAGCGAGAGCGTGTTTACAAATAAAATTGCTGTGTACTTATTTTAAGCTCAACTTCGAAGAGAGTCTGAGGTGAATGATTCAACTTGATTGCATTATGTTCCCGAAGAGAAAACCGGGTAAAACATGGTGAAATCAGTGTCTTCACTACCTTAAGAAAAACTTTCTTTTCAAAAGATTTGTATCAATAGTTTTTGTTTTTCATTCTTTTTCTATATAGAAATTCTTACATAAGAATTCATCGAAATTTGTATGCTCTTGTGTGACAGTATTTGAACTATCTTCCTCTTTTTATACGCGCATGTCTCTGAGAAATGTTTCTCACCCTTCTAGTTAAAGAATGGAAACGAGTGGTAACTATGAAAAGTAGGTTTTGAGAACCTTTTAAAGCTTCTAACAGTGCTCACAATTACAGGTTCATCATCCTGAAATGGTTTGCTGTGAAGCGGAGATCTTGCCGCGATATAAGCAATTTAAACACGATCCTGCCACGATCACTAGTGAAACAGTCGATTTCAATAGCGATCGTGCGGCGAAACAAGCAAATTCAGTTATAATCTTGCTACCATCTCAATCGCGATCCTGTCGCGAACTGTTTCCGGAGACAACAGCGAATTTTTTTTTTTCGCGAAACGCGAAAAATTGACGAATATGTGCGTCCGCGATTCAAATTGGCTATTGCGCGGCAAGATTATGACAAGATTACTATGGCCTCGCGACGTGCAATGAAGCGCGGATTCTACTAGGGTAGTTGATTCCTTGCAAAAAGAAAGCAAGAATTGCGTTTCTTGCCCATTCTTGCTGGAAGTTGATTCCCTGCAAGAAATCAAGAAATAAAAGCAAGAATAGTCACCATAAATCAAAGAGACTTCTTGCACCAAGAAAGCAAGATCTTGTGACATTTCTTGCGCAAGATCTTGGGCAAGAAAGCCCGCGCAAGAAAGTCGACTAGGGATGTCATTAGGTAGAAGATTCCATGCACAAATACCCTCCCGAATAAAGGATTTCTTCTATAGTGCCCGACCTCTTAAGTGCAAGGAGATGTCTCCTCACTGCATCATGAGAAAAATTATCCAAAACTAAACAACAATAGACTTCATAAAAAATTTTTAAAGATGTTTCAAAATATCCGAACCCCAACGCGAACGCGAACTTAGCCGAACCTTAGGATGCTTCTAAAATCTCTTATACAGCTCAAAAAACGATAAGACAACTACCTAGATACTTCACACTGCCAGTATCCGTTGGATACCACCCGAACTCGAACCCGAACCTTAGAACCGAACCCAAACCTGAGCCGAAGCTGAACGGTTCGGGTTTGGTGTATGCCTAAACGTAGTTATTACCATCTTGTTGAATCACAAGTAAAGGAAAGAACTTTGGAATCCTGGAAGCACTGTTCATGTCAGAACGTGTTCGCTGAAACTATTCGACTTTGTGTCTGGTATCCTGAGATCTTCATCTCCTATTTTCTCTCCCCTACAATCTAACCCTTAACTACGCTTTACCTTTTTGCTTTCAGATTACTGATGCCCCTATCTGGTCAGATGGACCCGAAACAACGCATTATTTTACTTAATCCGCCAGATCAATTTATTTGTTTGCCTGATTTGTTTTTCGAATCCCTCTTGCAGTTTACTGGTAAAAGTGAATGTCTTGCACACATCCAGTCAAAGTGTAAGACCGAAATCTCGTTTTTCGCTCCCGCTTCACTTGGCGAGAAACTGCTTCGTCGATGGAACACTGTTTTCACGTTCAATTATATATCTATAGAACTACAGATACGTTTTTGACGCAGCAAGCTTCTTTACGTCGTTTTCAACGAGTATTAGAAGTATATAATGAATGTCGTCTCCACTGGTATTTGCGTCAAGTAACTGCAATGTATTACGTAAAGCAAGGAGATGAACATAATCCAGCAGGCGACATAATCAAAGCTGACCAAAACTATTGGGATGCTCGGAAACATGAATTAGCACTAGCTAGGCTATGTCACAAGGAAATAGACGCCAAATTTGGAATTCAACCGACGTAAACTACAGAGACTGTCAAATTTATGGCAATCGACTTAAAGCAAGTTGGTGCTCTCAAGTTTGCTTTATACTTTTCTCATTCCTCTCTCATACATCAGCGGCCGCAGTACGCTTTCTTTTCCAAGAAACCGTTCAGTATTAGTATGCCTATCCTGAGATCTTCATCTCTTGTTTTCTGTCCACTACCATTTATCTTTTACTGTGGTTTACCTTTTTGCTTTGAGATTACTCATGTCACTATCTGTACAACAAAACTTAATTGTGAATGCAGTCTTGATCTGTTAATTTCCAAACTACATAATCGAAGTTGGGTCGTTTGGTACAAGCGAGAATAGTTCTTCCACTTTTTGTCATGTTTATGTTTATTCTCAGAATGGTGTAGAAACGTTTATTTTTTGATGGTTTAAGTAGATACAATCTTTATCTGCATAGTTTTCTCAAAAAAATTTGTACGGATGTTTCGCAGTTCGCTAATTCAACTTTCGCCAATCCGCCAATCGGCGAATGTCGCGGGAACATTCGCCAGTTACGGTCAATATAGCGAATGTCTGTTGGTGAAACTAAATATACGATTAAAGAGCTATCCCTTTGCCTAGAATGTGAATGAGAAGACAGAAGTATTCAAAAGAGAAATGATCACGTGCACTAGCATGTGAATAAAAAAGAAGACGAACTGTCCAGATGCGTAACACCCTTCCCTAGTCTCAATCCTGTTCATTCCTTGAGAAACCCTGGAAGGATCTTTCAGGATCCTCAATCTCCAGGATCTTGTCAAGTTTTATTCAGGATCCTGTTTCGAATCCTAGTAATTCCTGTTTCCAGGATTTTTCAAGGTTAAACAGGATCCTGTTCAGGATTTCTTCAAGTTTCTGCTCAGATATTTTTCTGAGTTGAAAATACAGGATCCTACCAGGATTTACTCTAGATCCTATCAAGGATCCTCACACGATTATAAGAGAGGATTCTGCCAGGATTTTATCAGGATTCCGTCGAGATCTGGGCCAAATCTTCGTATCAGGATCCTGTTAGGAGTGATAGCCACATCAGACAACGGTCTTTGCAAGAAAATTACCAGATCAGTCAGAATACGAAACTGACTAATCCTGCGAAGCTTCATTCAGGATCTTGTTCAGAACTTTTAAAGAATATCCGTTTCAAGACCGTGTAAGACAATGTCAATCCTAATAAGGATATTGATGAGACAATATACGCCCTAATCTCAGTCTTGTTCGTTTCTTGAGAAAGCCTGGAAGGATCTTTCAGGATCCTGAATTTCGAGGATCCTGTCTCGAATCCTGCTTATTCTTGTTTGCAGGATTTTCTCTTGGTTAAGCAGGATCATTTTCAGGATTTCTTCAAGTGCCTACTCAGATTTTTTTCTGAACTGACAATGCAAGATCCTACTAGGATTCGTTCTCGATCCTACTGAGGATCCTGACAAGAATAGAAGAAAGGATTCGATCAAAATTTTATCAGGTTTTAGTCAAGACCTGTTCTGAATCCTGATACAAGGATTCCGTCAAGAGTTATAGTTATATCAGAGGAGGATCTTACCAAGAAGATAGCAGGATCAGTTACAATCATAAACTGATAAATCTTGCTAAGCTTTGATCAGGATCCTTTTCCAATTCCTATTTATTCTTGTTATCCTAGACCTTTCCAGGATCCTGCGCGGAACTCTTCAGGTATAAGTGTTTCGAATCCTTACACAACAGTACCAACCATCATCAGGATCTTGATGAGGAAATACAAGGATCTAGTTAAGATCTTTGCAGGTTTGTGTTTAGAGTGTATTCAGAATTATATTTTCAGGATCCTATCAAGATTTATAACTGATCCTGTTCAGGATCCTGGCAAAAATGGATGAAAAGGTTTCATCAAGATTGTAGCTGATTTTTGTTCAGGATCCGTCCAAGATTGGTAAATCTATAGATCACAACATAATTTCAAATACCAATGTTGAGTAAAATCTCAATAGTGATAAATGGGATGGTTTTTTAAGATTTTATTGTGTTTTTATTCTGAACCTGGCAGAATCCTGAGGATTTAGGATTCTACTAGGATTTTTATCCTGATCTTGATTTGAATCGTTGTATAAGCAATCCTTAGTCTCAATCCTGTTCATTCGTTGGGAAAGCCTGGAAGGATCTTGCAGGATCCTGTCAAGTTTTGTTCAAGATACTGTCTCTAATCCTAGTAATTCCTGTTTGCAGGATGCCTCATGGTTATACAGGATCCTTTTCAGAATTTCTTCAAGTTCCTGTCCTGATTTTGTTCTGAATTAATAATGCAGGATCTTACTAGTATTCACTCTTGTTCCTAATTGGGATCTTAGCAGGAATAACAGAAAGAATTGTCAAGGTTTTTCAGAATTCTGAAAAGACATATTATCCTGTTCCTGTCAGGATCTTTTCCAGTTTCGTTTTACCTGATTAAGTCTCGATTTGTTGCTTGATCCGTCTTCTCAAATTCTTTTTAAATTTATGTTCATCTAAATACAGTCGAGAATTTTTACTGTATTTGTAATAATAGATCTTTCAATGACTTTTATCGAATCCTCTTATATTTCCTACTTAGATGGCGTTATAAGCATGTCTTCTTTCGCAAAAATACTTTGTATTAAATTCATACGTCTTCGAAAGTCAATGTAATCAAGAATACTTTTTTTTGAAGCTGCGTAGCTATAATATATTCGTTCAAACTGAGATCGACTATAATCCACATTGCACACTGGCGCCGATCATTGAAAAATCGTTTTTAGACCAAGTTTATCATTAAAATGCACTCTCCGTGATTTAGGTTGTGAATAAAATCAATTATTAAAGAAATTATTCACATATGTTGTGAACGTTATGATTGAACATCCAGTTTTCCAGGGGATCTCTGGAAACCGAGCCATAGCGCTGAAAATCACAGCATAAATCGATGTTTTAGAATTATTTTCCAAAAACGAGCTTTGTTTTAATACAAAACAAAATAAAAGAACGATTTATTCACGAAAAAGTTTTGACCTCAAACTATTTTAAGGACATATGAATAGAGCTGAACGGAGAAGAAGAAAGAGAGAATGTTCGTTGTGATCTATCTGTTCTATTCTGTTGTGTTCTACATGCTTGGAAATTTTTATTTTTATTTTTTGTTTTCTATCTTCAGAATCAACTATCGTTTGTCACATTTGATTGATAATGTCTTTTGAATAAAAAAAAATCTAAACACATATTCTGATAGAACTTTTCATTCTCTACATTTCTGTATCATTTTGTTGAATATTTAGGCTCAGCCTCGTGCCAAAAAATGTGAAATACTGAAAAATCGAGTTTTCATAAGTA